ATATATATATATATATATATATATATATATATATATATATATATATATATATATATATACATATATGTATATGTATATATCATATATATATATATATAATCATTCATTCATTCATTCATCCATCCATCCATTTATCCATCCATTCATTCATACATTCATACATACATACATACATGCATGCATATATATATATATATATATCCTACGAATATCTTCGCTTGAGTATCGATGTTTTGGTATGGTTATCACTAACAATGGGGCTCTGAAGCAAATGTGGATACTGTATCCAGCGACTAGAGATCCCAGACAAAGAATTTTAACAGTCAAGTCACATTCCTATCTTCGTGTCAGGATTACCCGCTGACCGATCAAGAACGAGCCGATGAGTTGCGCTTGCAAGACACGCGTGCGGCCTTGTTCGCTGAACAACAGCAGCAACAGCAACAGTATGGCGATCACGATTATGAACTGGAGGAGGATGAAGAAGAGGAAGAGGACGATGAAGACGATGACTTTAGCCCTGCGTGCATGTGTCCAAGCTGTATTCACAAACCAGTATGTTGTGGACCTGTTGAATATTGTTTTAGTGCACCTGTGTGATCGCGCGACGTGAACAGTTGTTGTTTGAGGAAGGGCACACTTACTTGTACAGTTTCATTTCTGACTTACACCTGTGACTGTGTGTATGCAGACTACCCGTACAAGTACCTCGCGGTAATAACGCGGGTAGTCTTCAGTCTTTACGAGGAAATTATCGATTTAACATTTTGAAACCTCACTTTCGGTGTTCTGCATATTCTGCTTGCTCGCTGTGAGTATGAGTTCACGGGAAAGTTACTAATGGGAAACGACAATTACGTTGATTTTAGTTTTAATGGGTGTAGTATGCTTGCATGAGTACTCTCACCGAATATCTGTTGTGTTGTGGCTGTCTGTAGTTGTGTCGTTCATATTTGAACTTTGGGAACTGAACTGAACCTCTTACCGTACTATAACAGCAGCAATACGGAGGTGACGAGTACATGGATAACGAAAGTGACCCGGAGTATCTAGATGATGATTACTACGATGAGCATCCGCCACACCATTGCGCTAATCACACACACGGGCATCAGTGCAACGGTAAGCATATTTCTGAAAGATAGCGGGCGTCATGCGTGGCATACGTACTACGCCTGTCTTCTGTGTATATTGTATTTGTATATCTGCATTCAAGAAGTTGAAATATCGTAATGTAATCGCTAACGGCACCGTATATTAGTTTCTTACTTAGATGCCTTGCAAGAACCTTAAGGATTCCTACGAAATAGGATACTTGCTTTTAATGCAAACGAATATTCAAATCACTGCGTTGCAGGGGGTATAGGCAGTAATCTGCAACCCAAATTGAATCACGACTTCCCAACTGCACGAAACAAGTTACGGATGAAATTACAGCAACAATCACTGGAGCAAGCCAGGAAGAAGGAGAAAGAGGCCAAAAGGCAAAAGGTAAGTTCGATCATAGCATGGGTGGCACATTTCCACTCATAAAGGGCTCTTTTTGCGCAAATTTCGAATTTGAATATAGTACAGGTAGATTGTAGGGTGATAATGACCTGCGATAATGACCTATGTTAGCGATCGATTGAGTGCTCATCGCTAAAGTGCAAATTGTGCTACATCGTGATACCCAGTGCATTGTATTAGACCCCATTTATGCCCTGTCTCTTGATTCATAAAGACACGTCTGCGTTTGCCCTGTCTCTTGCGTTGTCGCAAGCCATACTAATTAAGTTTAGATAAGGCTGAACACTTGACATGTGGTATGTGTTAAGCGACCTTATACAAATTTGCTTTCTAATATTCAATCGCTCACACTTTTTTCTAACGTTTCAGGACGCCGAGAATGCGTTTGTTGCTCCAGTCGATGATCTTCTGCAGTACATCGAAGGTCAAGCGTCCAAGCCTCAGGTGGATGGACCCAAGAAGGGCAAGGCAGAGAAGCGAGCGCGTAAGAAGCGTGAAGAGGACATGAAGAGGAAACAACATGAGGCTATTGCGGCGGAGAAAGCACGACTGAATGCTAAGGCGGAGCAGGAGGCGAAGAAGAAGGAGGAGGAGTTGCAGAAACGAGTGCGATCCGAGCCACCACAAATGGTCCCCGTTGGTAGCGCCTCGGGGAAAAAGAAGAAGAATGTGAAAGCCAACGCAAATGTTGCGACTAAGGGAAATGCTAACGGTACTGGTGCTAAAGCAAATGCAAGTGCGCAGGCGGGGAGTGCTGGAGTATATGCGGCGAGCGGGAATGGAGTGGAAGGTAAGGGTGCTAATGGGGTTGGCAGCAGCGGTGGTGGTAAGAATTTATCGACTGCTAACAACTCGCAGAATCAGACCACGGCCAAGAACGCGAAAAATGTGGCAAATGCAAAGGGCAATGCTGCAGATGCGAGGGGCAAGAAAGGCGGGAAAGATAGCGGGAGTGGCAATGCCACAATCAGTACAACCCCGGTCGTCAATGCGAGCGCTAGTGACTTCTTAGCTGCGGCGGCTGCGGCTGCGGCGCTGAAGAGGAAAAAGAACAGCTCAGCCAACAATAGCAGGCAGCAAGATGGTGGCGCCGGTAGCGGTAGTGCTGGAGCTGGAGCAGAGGACGGTTTGAGGTCAAAGATGGACCAGTTATCTATCGATGCCATCTTCGCACCCGCGCCAAAGAACAAGTCTGGCAAGGCCAGTAGCAGTGCCGGCGATGGGAACGACGACGACTATGACCACGAGGTTGAGGAGTTCAAGAGAATATGTGCCGTGAGCATGCAACCGCCCACGACACGAAAGAAAATGAGCGTAGATCTTAATCTGATTGCTCTAGCTGCGCGGAGTCGATCATAGGATTTTGGAGTATCTAGGAGTGAATTGACCAGATAGGCACAACCCTTTAAATTTTAAATTGAATAACCGGACGGTTTGGTGACCTCGAAACTAGCGATCTTTTTCTAATTATTTTTGTGCACTCTTTAATATTGGGGTTTGAAATATGTATGTTGCCTCAGAAGTGAAGCAGCGGGAGAGGAAGCACAAACCGGAACTGGGAGCATCAAGATTGTATATATTTATTTTATTTTGCTCAGCCATCATTCAAATTCAAATACCATTCAGTGATATCATGTTTATGTAGTAGCATGATGCCAAATGGCAGAAAGCCAGACATTTGCAAAATTTGTTTTATGTAGCACAAAATCCCAAAGTCGAATTTGGGATATACACTTGGGTAGGTGATGCAAAACAGCAACCCGAGATGATGTTACCCTTTAGATCAAGCTTTTGTGGATATCACTAAGGACTTGCTCCAATAATGATGGTTAGTATAACCTACTATAATGTTGCCACTGGCTGAGAGCAGTGACAAATACATTCAATTTAATATGCAGCTCGTGAAGTCATAACCTGGCAACCAATCTCGTAGGCTCAAAATGACTCATGGTTTGAAATGATTCTGATCATGCCCAGAGATCGAGATTTTTATGGCTCAAAAAGTCAAGACACGGCTGGTACAGCATCGGTAAATGCCCCAAACCAGTTTTATATGAATTGTGACTGAGATAATAGCACAAAGATAGCAGTCAGAATTTTTACGTCAATGTTAGAACTTGGAGAAAAGAATTCACGATGCCACTTGACATACATATTCATATTCTTAAATAATTTATTTCCGTGGTGTGGCATTCGGTCCATACAACTAGATTATGCAATTAGCGCAAGAAACATCGCTTATTCTAGAGTCTTTGCCTTCGCATTTTAATGTAAGTAAGGAGCGATGACGATAATTTATTTTTGAACGTGTATATTAGTTGATATCGTGACTTTGGGTGCCGTAATATAGTGTGATGAGAATATGTATTGTAGTACGTAATATGCATAGCCTTCTAAATCATACACGCCTAATATGCTAAAATTATGTGGTTGTAAACACCCAAGTGTTTTGTCTGTGAAGTTTTGCAAGGTCCACGTGCCGGGGAAAAGTGATGACACTGATAGAAAATATGATAAGGGGCTAAATTTTAAAATTAGCAGGAGGCACATCGTGTGTATGCATTGACGAAGTACAACCAAGCATGGCTAGCTTAAGTTTGGAAATCCCTGACTGGGGTGTGGGACCTAGCAATGCATCGACTCTATCATCAGTAGCTGCGGGTGGGGGTGACTGGTCTAGTATGGAGGCGCCCGTACAGTCGTCAGCTTCGAGGAAACGAGCTAATAAAAAGAAAAATCGTCGAGAAGCCGGGGCGGCGAGAGAGGCAGCCGGCATACCGAAACGTGTGAAGGAAGATAGAGAGAGAAAGATAGACACACATAATAAGACGGATGCAAAGGTAAAAGGTGCGAGTAATAAAGAGAAGAACGAGAAGCAACCAAAGAATGGTAAAGTAAAGAAAGTAGCGGAGACGCCATCGCAAAAGGACAACAGTACAGTGCAGGCAAAGGTACAACCGAAAGAGCTCACAGGATATATCCCGAATGTCCCTATAAAGGGTCTAGTAAACGAGAGTCACGCTACACAATCGAAAAGAGCGAAGCCTGTTCGAACACAGTCGCAAGAAATGAAGCGCTCCGACACCGAATCCGTCGATGAATCGAACATCGCGCACAACACCATCGTCCCCGTGGTAATCAAATCCAAGAAGATGAACCCGGTCAAAACGAAAGCTGACGTAAAAAATGAAACCAGTGAGCCATCAACAGATACTAAGCGGAATGCTCAGTTGAAAGGTGTGTTTCGCGCGCAAGACGCACGTTTTTACAACCGAATTGTCCCTCCTTCTGATCGCATTTTTTCCACAGAATGACGAAGTATATATATATATATTTATATATTTATATATTTATATATATATATACATATGAATATATATATATATATATATATATATATATATATATATATATATATAGTATATATATATATATATATATATATATATATATATAGTATATATATATATATATATATATATATATATATATATATATATA